TAGTTACACTGTGAAGAAAAAGGTTTCCTATTATCCCATATCTGAGCTTCCCTCTCCATTCTTAAGACCATATCGCTCCAATAGCGATTTTTGTCGTGCTGCTGTCGTTGTAATTCTTCGAAGCACCCGATAGTCAAGGTCTCCTAACATTCGGACTTTGGTAGCTTTTTCAGATTATTAGTTATTTCTGACACTCAATTAGCGCACTTTCTACTATATACCCTAGCGTGGAAGTGGCTGACTTTTGTAAGCATATTTTTAGCGCTGAAACCAGTATTTGGCGCAAATAGCGAACAAAAAAAATATATAAAATAAATTCCTCAAATAAGTGCTGTGAATTCAGCTTACTATCCCAAATTCCTACAATAATTTTTTCATGCGTTTTTTTTTATTATCTTAATTTAGCAAAATTCTATTTCTTTTTTTGTATAGCTAAAAAACAAATTAAGCTTACGAAATCTCTTATCTTATAACGAATCTCATATCTATTAAGACTATAATCAGATAATTATGGTTTTTGTGTACATATTTGTTAAATATTCGTTATATGCCATTCACATTAAAATGTTTTTTTTATGCAATCAAACTATATAAGATAACTATATATATGCTATATGTATGCAAACTATACTATATATAAGCGTGTAAAATAGGCTCACTTTGAAGTTATAGTTGAAGCTGAAGTCGAATCTACTTTATTTTTATTTCATTTTTAATAATTCCATTAATTTTTAATTTTTTCTCATTTTCTGTTGAACCTTTATTATTTATAATTTGTGTTTTAATAAAAATAAACAAAAAATATTTTAGCCTGCTTGAGTACGACGATAAATCATTTGGATGTTAAATTAAAGAACAACATCCTTTTCGAGTTAATTCCCATCAGTCCAACCTCTTGTACTAAACATGTCAATTCATTCTTCCTCAAATTATTCCTCCACAACAGTATTATTCGTCGTTCCGAAGATATCATTGACGTTCATTTCACTGAGTTGTTTCGATAATACGGTTTGAAATACGCTTATTGTTCCCGGATCTTTTAATTTGAGATAGTTGAAAGATCTTGGCATACTTTCTTACGACTTGTCAGTTTTATACGAATTTTGGCTCGAACCATAACATGATTTGATCCATGGCGGTTACCAGTTTCAGCCCCGATAGAAACGACTACGTACAGAATTCTTCCAGCGATGACTGACCGATATATAGTCGATCTAATTGGAATATTGTTGTCCAGAAAATTCCACGTGACTAGATGTTTTCTCCGAAAGCATATATTAGTAACAAAGAGTTTATGTTCGGCAAAACGAAGAAGACCTCTATTGACACACTGGACCCTGATACTATATTGCTAATTCTTCGTAACGACATTATGACCTACGCGTACATCCCAGTCTCCCCAGATTATGACCATGTCACCTATTGGTAGAGATGTTGTTAACAGTTCAAGCTCCGCATAGAACTTATCCTTATCGCAGTCATCTGCACACAAAGATGGAGCATATACGCTAATGACCGAAATAATGCAGAACTTTCCACTGAAACGCGTATAGGCCATACGGTCATTTATTATCTTCCATTCAATCAGAGCGGATCGAGCCTTTTCAGACATGACAATTGACAATCGCTACGCCATTTCGCCTAGAGTTATCCGAGACACCACTGTGATATAGCCAATATCTTTGCTCGGAACCAGATTTAATTATTCGAGAGTCGACATGAGGAAGAAGGGCTTCCGACAAATAAGCCATATTTTGAAAGGGTGATTCTTTTGTCATTTTTAATTACTGCTTATTTCTAATTTCAGATGATTTCAAAATTTCTATTATGAAAGAAAAAAAATGGAATTCATTAAAAATTACAACGTGGAGCAATGTTTAATTACATGCTGGTAATACAAATATGACATCTTTCGAATAATGATTCTTATATGTAAGTTATACCTAGTGAATATCCATTGTTCAAACACTCTCGTCGAATTGCCTTTCCGTATTATTTTGAAGACCATTAAACTCGTTCTTTACAGAATTTTTGGCATGAAAGGAGACATGAATGTCTTTTGATCGAGAGAGAAATTCATAAACAATCAATCCAAACGATCAGACCGCACAAGAAATTAATTTCCATATCCTATTTTTATCGCTCGAATCAACATGATACTTAAATTTCTTGCAAGATCAAAGATGATCGCTAAAAATTTTATATATTGAAATTATATACTTTTGCAAAAGTGAACATTTAAACCGAAGACGAATTATTATTATACGATGGCAACATTTCAGACAGTTGCAACCGAAAGTCATTTATCAACGTTCAGTGAAGGAAATTCGCTATTTAATGGTTTTATATCATATTGTGGTGTTGTGATTATTTCATTAACTGCATTTTCATTTTCAATTCTTTGGTTTATTGCACTCATTTTTCAGCAACGAAGTATTTTTCAAAGTAATCAAACGCATAAAATTTGACAATTTTTTTTCAAATTGCATTAAATATTATTAATATTAAATATCATTAATTTTATTAAATATTATTAAATATTATTGTATTAAATATGTATTATTAAATATTTATTTTAATTACTCATATTAGTTTTGTAGTTATTTTTTGTAGTTGTTTCTCTCACTATAAATAAATGCTGATGAAATCTTAGTTCATCTTAGTTTAACTCGAAATAATTTGTGCATATTTGCATAAAAATTTTTCATAATCCGATTTAATTTGTGAAAAAAATTGACTTTATGAAAATATTTGATTTTTTAGTAATTAAATTGTAAATAGCCGAGAAATGAGAAGAAAATAAAATTTAATAGCCTTCAAATTGTTAGGAACAAAATTATAAAAAGACCTTTAAAGAGAAGAAGGATAACCGAACGGTTGTTGCTCATATTTTCACATCAAATGCTGCATGGGATAAGTCTGTCACTGAAAAAACTACAAATCTAAGTGACGCAATTCCTTTGCCAAAACAAAATCGTATTAATAATGGCCAAAATGAACCTGACCAAAAATTGGATCCTATTCACTGCACTTTATATAGGGCCTTGGAATTATACAAAAACTTAATTAAAAAGGTGAAAAGCCATAAAAGTTTCTTTAACTTTCATTTTATTTTAATATTTAATATTTAATAATATTTAATAATAAATCCGCCGAATCAGCAAACATTAACATAATATATTAATGCAGATCAAAATCCAATACGATCCGAGCGAAGACTTTGTGTAAAAAAAAAGAAAATGACGTCGGATCTTTTATTTTTGATGAATGAATGAAATATATTGTGCAATTGTTCTGAGATAACCCATTTTTTAATATTTGCTGGATATTCATCAAATAAACTATGAAAACTCATTTCTCATTTAATCTCATTTAATGGCGAAATCAAGTTGAGAAAAATGGCTTTCCGAACATTTTGAAAAGTGAAGTCAAAAGTTCTGAAAATATCGCTGAACAGAAATTGAAAATTAATTGAAAGTTTTTGTATTAATCGGCCATAATCGGTCATTTGAGAATTAATCAGCCTTATTGTCATAATTATCTCCAATTGATTTAATTCATCTCATTCTTCACCAAAGACAACCAACCGTAAATGGGTGGTAATTCAATAAAAAAGGCAATCGTTTTCGAACAAAATTTTTAAGAAATTTAACAAGGACATATGCGAACAACAAATCTCGTTTGATTTCCATGTCAAAACGGAAGGTCAGGCCTTACACAGTTAGCAGATTTAGATGGAGCTTTTGTGTTTATTCATTTAGAAGACTAATGGCGAAATCTTGAAATCTTTAAAAATTAAATTCAAGATTGAATGCAAAACTTGTTCTACGAGTTATCTTCAACATAAATTTGGTTTTATCAATGCCGCAATTGGTGATCTTGGCGACCACTTTGACTATTTCCATCGCTTATCTTTCCATATTATGGTCGTATAATTCCTGGAATGTTCCTTACTTAAAAAATAAAAAATCAAAAAATCTAAGAATATGCAATTTTTTGAGGAAAAGCAAAAAGAAACTTTAACTTTTCCTTCGTTTCAATTCAAGATTTTTCTTTAATTCTTTTCTATGGTTTCTTTGGTTCTTTAAACAAATTTGGGTTTCTCTTTTTGGCTTCTTTTAAGTTTTTTTATTATGCGATGTTTTTTTGGAACATAATTATGAATAAATATGAATAGCGCCAAATTTTCCTAGATTGATTCGGCTATTATAACTTAGAAAAAAATTGAAAACTAAATTAAACTAAAAATTATTAACTATTATTTAACCACATTTAATTGTTAACTTTGTAGGATGTCGACATCGATAATTTCAAATATTCTTGTTTTTCGAGCAGCTTTTCCAGCATTTCTGATTTATCTGGCCTTATTGACTATTATCAATATCTTTTCACTGAAGAGTACTTGTAGACTGAGAGATTACAGATATTTCTGTAATCAAGAACCAAATTTGCTGCTAGGCCCTAGCTGAAGCAGCAGTTCGATCGACGGTGACTAAATTTTGCACATATTTATCGTTTCGTTTTTTATGTGATTTCTGATAATATGTGATTTTGTTTTTTATGAAATCAACTGCTTATAATGCTCATATGGAAAATTACGGATGGAATTTTACTCATTGGAATAATGAATAATCTGAGTGGTATATAAATGGTATATTGGTCCAGTTAAGGGAAAATTTTGATTTCTCTTTCTTCATTAAGATAAGCTAGTTCTTAAATCCAGGTAGTGATATTCACTCGCATCTTTATCAAACGGCTGGCTCTCTAGTGAAGTATTCTCATCCTTCTGATGGAGTTAGCCAAATCAAAAACGATAAGCGTGAAGAATAAAATGCAATACGAATAATTAATAACTTATCAGTGCCCATATAATTTACTTTATGCGAACGTGTAATTATGTAGTAATTTTTTGCAAAATAAAGGACTGCAATTTATGATACAGGAAATTTACAGTTAGTTGGTGCATAAATTTTCGATCTTTTGCGAATTTGGTATCAAACATGGGGACAGTGGTGTTGGTTTCATTAACTGAACTGTCTATAATTCTAATTATTTATAACAGTGCAAAAATATCAAATGCGAAGCTTATTGGTGCTTCTAAATTTGTATTTATTTTTAACCAATAGAATTTTCGGCAAATTGCTAGTAATTTGCTAGTAACAGATTTGCTAGTAATTTTGGAAATAAAAAGACTTTGCACTTAATTTTTGATTTCACTTTAGTAATAAAAGACTGAAAAATATGAAAATATTTGTACTTTTTTATTCCTTTTTCCAGTTCATTTTTAATTTCAACTGGCTATTACGAATTAAGGTATTGATAATCCGCACGGTAATGGATTCTCGCCAATTATTCCGAAGTCGAATGTTCGTTATTTTTCACCGCCGGATATTCCACTGCCAGACTTTAATTACTTGAAAGTGTTCGTTTCATTTATCAGCTAACGTTATATTAGTTACGCTGATAAATTAATTTCTATGAAAACTGTAATTGTTGTAGTCATGAAAATTTACTAATTTACTTATTAATTAACTGCATTTTAATGATACATTTCAGATATTCGCAGCAAAATAGCGATAAAAAAATAAAAATTGAGAGGCTTAGGGCACCGAAGATCAGATTCACTATCCGGAATCTTGGTCCCAATAAATCGCGTGAAGTAACAAAAATTAATATTGATGAGAATGGGTTTTATGGAAACGAAAGTATAGGCAAGAATTTTTCATTTTTGCTGCTAAATTCCATTATCTATTGCCAGGATTATCACACTTTTTTTGTATAAAATCTGCATTTTTTATTATCCTTTTCTAAGAACATTCTGATGTGTGTGATTTTGAAAAGTTCATATTCTTACCAAATTTACGTTCTTGACACATTTCGGTTGCCGCCTCCGTGAACCATTGGGAAAGGATCATCAATACAACTTTCGTTTTTAATGAAATTTGCTTTCGTAGATTTTAAGATGAGATTTAACCTATAAAAGAAATAAAATAGATGTAAAGCCTCATTAATAATTCAAATTCGTGAGTCGAAGATGTAGAGGAACATTGTAGGCTATGAAACTTATGAAGAAGACAAAAAAAAAGCACCAAAGATACAGAAGCTCCAGTTGATTTCCTCTGATATAAATGAGGCTCTTTCAACAAGTTTGGAGCATGCAAAACCTCAGGTGAAGGCGAAATCTACTTATAGCAATGCAAAGGTTCAGTTTACGTCAGTACAACGGCTACTAAGCAAATCATCAGAAATTGATTTGAAATATGCAACTTCAAAGGAAAACAACGTATATACAATTAAGGGATCTAAACCTTACATTACAACTTCAGCACCAAAAGTGGTAAGTGAGCTAATTTTCCCGGTTCATGAATATGGAAGCGAATCATTTGCAACATTTAAACTTGAAGAAAAACCTTATACTCAACCGTCTTCATTAAAGCAAATTCTAATCCAAACTAAGACATTTGAAAAGTATGAACCAGATCTACAATCTTCTCAACAAGTGGACTATGAATCTTCAGAATCGGTATACTATCGATTGTAAATTTTCTTATATATTTAGGAAAATTAAACGAGAATCATCCTAAAAAATAAATGAAAAAATAACGATAATCAAGATTGAATAAGCAAAAAATTTTCGAAATTTTGTGGCAATTTTTTCAAACTCAAAAACGAAAATCAAACCAAGATTATATACAATTTTTTAAATACACTGCAAAATTTATTTTTGCATCCTGTAAATCATTAAAGGACTTAAATTTGTCGGTCCTAATTCACAAAAACTTTCAGAAGAATTCTTACGAGATATCTCGTGAAATCGCTGCTGATGATTTAGAAGATGAAGCATCAAGTAAAGATAAAATTATTTCTCTTCATTATTTCTCTTTTATTAACTGTAGATTAAACAAATAAGTGGCCAGCAATTACTATTTTTTGTTGAACTCACTGCACTACTTGCTAGTAGATGAGAAAACATTTTCTGCCAGAGAATCATCTGATGATAGGCGGTCCATCAACTGGGTATTTTTATGGTGGATTCCTTTTTCCAACGGAAAAACAGGTAATCTATTGGTAACCACGACTGCCATGAATCAACTTTTAAATGAATTTTTTAGACGATTTGCTTATATCATTCAATTGCTATAAAACATAGGAAAAAATGGAAACTAAGTGATGAATGTGTGTGATTTTGAAAAGTTCATATTCTTACCAAATTTACGTTCTTGACACATCATAGAAATAAATTCATCCATTAAGTTGAATACATCGAGATCTAATTATTCAATAATGAAGAGATTCTTAAAAATATCATGCAAAAGATTATTTGCTATTACAATGCGGAGAATCAAGCAAGCCTGATAAAAAAATTTCCAGCCTCATTTGATTTACTGTACTATGGTAAAGAATCGAATGCAAAGTCTGGTTACGAATACACAACCACACGAAACGTGAAGAACTCGCAAGTTACCGAAGCAATGCCGCAGATGCTATATGAACATAGCATAATGCCTGATTCAAAGTATCCCGAATTAGTGCCCTCTCCAAAGTTTGCATCCGATATAGTAATCCCATATACTATATCACCGGAAGGCCAACGTTACGAAAATATATATCCTCCAATATTAGAAGATCCATCTGCAGCTTCTGAATATCCATTGGGTTTTTCGCTCAGTCCGATTACATTTGGCACAATTGAGCCAGCCCTTTATCCAAGTGCGTTAAAATTACCACCAACACCACAAGTAATTTCACCTTCTAAGCAAAACAACACATTGCTTCAAACTTCAACAGCTAAGCACATTGGGTATCAGCAAAGATTTTATACAATATCGCCACAAAGTGCTCTCCTTACAGAGAGACCACAAGCAACTTTAATACGGTTACCGGATAATTTAGATGGTTATTTGGAATCAAGTTTAAGATCGCCTGATGATGGCGCAGAGGTTAATTCCAAGTTTTAAAAAAAATTGGCATTGATTTGAAAAGTAAATTAAATAAATCGTTTTTTGTTCAATCTTTGGAAAACTGGAAATCCATCCTATTTTAGTTAAAGAATTTGTAGAAGCTCGAGGTTTTGCCTGAACGAATCGGTGCCTTGGGAGAATCACTATCAAAAATTGACGAACCATATGAAAGCGAGACAATTGCACTGGTATTTTTTCATACTTATGCGCTTTAACCGGAATAAAATTCGAAAAAATTAATTTTAAAACTTTTTCCAAGTCAACGCTTCGTTTTTTCTTTGAAATTATATGAACAATCAAGGGCAAATCTATATAAGGCAAATCTATAATCTATCTAAGGCCCTTTCAATATTTGAAAAACCATGAGGAATTTTTTCATTGGGTCGAATTATTTAATAAATCTAAGGTGGATTATTCTCGATAGTATTATTTTTCTTATTTTCTTATGATTATGGTTCTTTTAAATGATAATAAATTATTCAAATATATACTGAGATATACTATATATATATGGAATAAGCTCTTAAAATTCTGATATAAATTTTTATTTATTTTTATTAACTGATAAAAATTGCTCATCAGATTGGCAGATTTTTCTTTAAACCCAGGCACTGAAACATTAAAACTTCCTTTTTAACACCTCTTTCAGACTCTTTTACATTATTTTCAGCAGGACGAATACCTATAATTTTGCCTCATTGGCTTCCGGTTTCTCAGCTTCTCTTGGTCACCTTTATCCTTTACAATTTTAGAAATACTAATTGATATTGATATTGTTATCGACTAATTGGATTTTGAGAGCATAATTTGAATATAAGTTTCGAGAGGCTATGATGGTGTATAAGTAATTAAGGTAGCATAAGAAGGTTTAAGGTAACGTTACCAAATGTTACCAGTAGGTATGCGAAGAATAGAGGGAAGTTTGATGAAGCGTCAAAGAAAGTATTCGGATTGTAGGGGGTTTTCATACAATATAAGATAAAATGAGTTTTTTCGGCTATACTAACATGGCGAATGATCGAGTATTCCATTATTAGTTCAATGAAATTCTTACTCCGACCAAGAATCTGATTAAAAGTAAGATCTTGTGATACTGGAGACCTAGTTTGTGGCTCTTTGGTAAAAATCTAGAAATCAGTGGAGTGGGTCCAAATAAGTAGAAAAAAGTAAGCAGAAATAATGACTTTATGAAAAAAATTTAGCTGGCAGAAATTTCTAGAAATTATTTCTTAAATTTTGTGAGCTGCACTATTATGTTTTTAGGTCGATGATAATCGAAATTTATATCGTGGTGAAGGAGGTGTTACGGAAGGAAATAAGGTTACCAAAACTGGTAAGATTAATGTAATAAATAAATGTAAATGTAATAATGTAATAAATTTGCCTTTTTTCTGGCCTTAGATCAATTAAAAGTTTTTGTGTTTGTATAAATTTTCTGCTTTCGATGGATCTATTGGCTGCAGGGTGTTTTCAGGGGAATCTTATCAGATAATACCAAATGAAGGTTCGGAACATCCTTACGAAAAAAACAGTACAAATATTCTTCGAAAAAGAATAAGTAATATTCTGCCACAAAAAGTTGAACCATCGTTAATAATAAAGGAGCCGATGAATGAAGACGAAACGGAACGGAAAAGGAACAGTCAATCTATACAACCTCCTCCTTCAAACATTGGTCGTCAACTCCGTAATTACCATTTATTATTAAAATCTGTCCTCTACGCTTCGATATATTTCATTTAGAATGAATCAAATTGCAATTAAATCGATGAATGAAAGAAAAATCTGATAATAACAAAAGTTAAAAAGTATTTGAAAAACTTTTAGCATCCATTGGCCAATCGGCTCAACCGTATCCATTCAGCGAGACATCTCGAGGCTTTAATTTTCAATTGGAACCACCGCAACAACAGATTTATAATAATGGCCCACAATTGCCACCCATATCGAATTATTTGCCTTCTATTTATCCTAGATCATCACATTTGCCAGACACTAATACGAATATACCGTATGCTATGCCATCTCTTCATACACAATTATTGCCTTCGACGGGTTCATCATGCATACCAACTCATGGTACTCAATGTGCACCTCCAGTCTCATCTTCCTGCCGTAATTTTTCTATTTCAATTTTTTAAGAGAAAATTTTTAAATTTCTATAGATCTTTGTTGATGGTTATCCGATTTGAATCATTTTATTCATGAGAAAAAGTTTTCAGCATGCCCATCTGCTTACACCTTACAGACTTTACCAATACTATCTTTATGCCTTCCCCAGTGTCCACTCTACGGTTGTTGTTGTTGTCCATCAATGCTTCCTAATTTGTGTAAACGGCGAAAACGGTGCGTTTTTTAAAGACATGATAATAAAGAAGTAATCAATTCTCCAAATTCCATTTTCTAATTCCGAATTATGATTATTTAATTTTTTAAAAATATTTATCTACTGATATGACGATCTTATTCCCTAATATTAATCTAATGCACCCAGTTTTTCCCATTTTGCTGCTTAAAAGTTAAAATTTATTTTATGAAGGAAACTAATCATTCTAGAATTTGGCCACTCTGTATCGATTAATAATATCAACAAATTTCAGATCAATTGGATACCTTTTAGGTTTGTGTAATTGAATTCCGTGGATAAAAGACGTGGATGCTTCTTAGAGCATCAAACATTTCCAAATTTGCCTCACACATCTGCCATATTAAGCTTTGTTTTTTCGTATTTACTTTATGAAGGAAATCAATGGAATAAATCTGAATCTTTTAAAAGCCAACTTTGAACAATTCAGTGGAAATTCGCTGAATTACAAGATTAAATTGTGCAGAAGCACACCCAAACCGTAATCAAAAGGGAAAATGCTGTAAAATAACAAGATCATGAGTTAAAGTTCTTAACTAAATAACTAAATGAGTAAGTAAGCGCGATTATTTTAATGGGAGAAAACACTAAGAATTTTAAAAAATTTTCGTTTTTATTTAATTGAATATAATGAAAAAATGGAAAAATTGATGATCTAACTGTGTGATTTGTAACATCTTCCGAATAGGTCATCCATCATTCGGTTAATTTTCTGGGTCACTCGTTTATCATTTTCTGCTTTCAATCATCCGTTCATTCATCCATCCATTCATTTGTCCGTCCATTGATTCATTATTCTTATTGAAGTTTCGATCATTTCATACAAAATTTATTGGAAATAATTACATTGTTTCTTTTAATGCAATATTTTTTTGCGATTATTTAATTTTATTATTATGAAAATAATTTCTTTATCTTTAAATCCGCGATTTCATTCACTTGGTATTCTTTCCACGAAATAAAGAACCATGATTCAACTATCCTAGCAAATAGTCCTAATTTTGCATGAATGCCAAATAAATTTAGTATTGCTCCGATAAATAAGAATTGTTAATATAAAAGTGCTCACGTTATTTATTTATTTATGCATGCAAGCAGGACGACAAGCGGCATGTGCTAACATTAATAACAGCAAAATAAAATAAAGTATTAAATTATTTCTTTAGAATAGTTCAGTATTTACAGTTCTGCAATGCAGTTATGCAGAAATCATATCTTGAATTAGAAATATTTTAAAAAAAACAAATATTGGAGGACAGAATGATAGAATGGGTGTTGTGCTTGGAATAAAGTCGAACCTCGACTCTTCTCAGTGGGCTGGCAATAAACCTAGCAATAAAAATTTGATGAGGAATTTGAGAATTAAAATCTACTACTAAATCTACTACTCTATCCCCAAATAACTCTTAAGCAAATTAGTATAATCATAGCAATAGAGTCAGGGAGATATTTAATGGTTGTATTTGGCAACTAAGGATTTGATCAAAACTTCAGCCACTTTGAATTGCAAAAAAAGTTGAGAATTAATCATTAAAATCACCATTATTTAAAATCTTTGTTTTTGAGACTGGCAAGTACCAAAGCGAAGAGTTATGGCCATCAGTTTCACTTCACTTCAAAAGTATCTAAGATAGCTAATAATTCAAAAATAAAAGTAATTATCATACCAATAATGTGGCGAAAGCTTAAAGGTTTTTTTTTATGAAAATTTTATTCTTCTTATAGCTTTTTAATTTGCATTAAAATTTCAGATGATTCTAAATACGACTTTAATTTTTATTTTGCTTTTTATAACAATATGCTCGGCAGATTTCCATCATAATCGTAAGTTTAATACATCAATCTTAATACTCTATTAGGTTGGAATGTTACATCACTACACGCTAGTAAATCACGATCATATTTGTAAAACCACGATCGCGAAACTTCATTTGAATTTACCAGCAGTTGGTGCATCCTCGAGAAATTCTCGTCGGGTACGAGTATTTCTACCAAACATCGATTAGAATCTTAAGCTTTATTACAAATCGTCTTGCCAATATTCCACCATATTTTACAATTTAATTTATTAATTATATTATTTATCAAACGTGTAGACCAAATTTTAAATTTTAATGGAACAATGGTTTCCGTTCCAAACCTTTTAGGCAAATTTGCCACAAATATTGTTCGTCGAGAATTAATTGAAATCATGCAGAAGTTGAAGGGTTAAATACGAAAAGACATCGCTTGTACTTTTAACTGAAATATATGAGAAAGAAAGATGGTAATGGCAATTTAATTAAATATTTTTAAATCTAAAATGTTGTGTTATAAATTAAATTAAGATAAATGAAAACCTGCTGCTTTGTCACGAATCTTTGTAGTCAATTAAGAGAGAACTTATAGAATTTAACTTAATAGAACTTATAACTTATAGAATTTCGACAGTACACTTGCTTCAGCATAAGGTCAAACGAACCGGCCGATTGCACTTTAATGTTCAAAGAAAACAATGAACGAACTACTATTAGTGACAGTGGATGTTTTTCGGTGAGTTTTTTGCTAATTTTAGTATGCAATAAATGTGCAATTTTTCGAGGCCCCTAGGCTTATGAGTACCAAAATCGTTGCTTTCATCATATATTAATGTTTATATTAATATTCTTCAATAGAATTGAAAAGCTTTGACTGATATCAAACCAATGTATGTTCGATCTCCATTCCTTAACGTGGGTAGGCCTATCATTTAAAACGAAATCCGAGCAATGCTGAGGGCCCACGTGCACTTCTATGCTTAAGCAATTTTGACTAAAAACTTTTGTCCTAATGGAACAATAATGCCGAACCAATAATGTTAGATTTAGAAGAAAACAGTATGATAAAATAATCAGAATGTTTGATTATTTGAAAATATTGAGCCTTAGCCTTAAGAAAGCCTTAGAAAAGCAATGTTATTGTAAAATATCACTTTAAGCAATCACTTTAAGATATTTTTTTCAAGCAATGTGATAAGTGATAAGTGAAAACTATGCTGCTTTATCATGAATATTTGCAAATCTACTGATCAAAATTAAATCTAAAATAATAAAATAATAAATCATTGGAAATTGAGGAAAGAGATCTGGAACGACATCAAATATTCACGTATTGTCCACTTCAATGTCCAGGCGCTGAATCTGCTTATGTGATCTTGAAGAAACCATCGAACAATAACAAATGTGCAGCGTTTTTTTCATATAATGTTGTAAGGCGAAAAAATGATTGGTTTTTTTGGCGGTCCGGAAAGTGTTTATACGAAGAAATTCAATTTGATATTGGCTGTACCTTTCCATTTAAGAAATTAAAAAAAGGAAAAAACGATTCATTCGTTGGTCATGACCAGTGATGCAACTGATAAACGTTGATTAATTTACCTCGTTAATTAATTAAATGAACTTGTCACTGAGACTTGATAAAACGTCGTCACAAAAAATTGCTGATAAAATACCCAATAGAACAATGGAATTGAATTAGTAGTGGAATAGCAATTGAAAAGGCACAATTCTAAAAAGATTAAGTGTTCCCAACCATTTATCTGATCCATTGTGAGCCAGTGGCTCACCTTTTCCCTTTCCTCTCCCTCTTCTGAGTTTTCGGCGCGTATCCTCCTCCATCGCTCTATCATTATTTCTAAGCAAAGCATTATTATCATCTCTTTCATATCGATAATTTGCTCTGCGGAAAACTGTGCGGAAAATTATGTTTTTTTGTGAAAACTATTCATATAAAGTCGCAACATAATGAGAGATGATAATTTTATCAAATTTACGCTAAATTCCAGTTTTATTCGGCTTTATTTTTTGCGAATGTTTATGAAAAATTGCACGTTAAAAACACTGAAAATCCGCTGAAAATAAATCGCTTGACTCAAATTATATTTGAACTAAAAACTTGTCGAAAAATTAAATCAACTGTAACTTAGAGTTCAACATTTCTCGTTTCGGCCGTCAGCACTACCAGAAATTTTTGTCACGGGCCATTTGGCTAACGACGTGAGCACAGGTAAATTCGCCAGCACCACTGATATTTTTAGAATAGAAAATTTATTAAAAAGTCGGAGATGGGAGGAAAATCTCGACAATCTGCACCGCCATCCACTCGGCTCTTTCTATATTATGGAAAGAAATACGTCACTTAATTATAAATAGCAAAATTTTTTTAAAATAATTATAAATAAAATTTTTTTTAGAGATTTGTCCAAGATTTAAATTGAATTCAAAAGATTCAGAACAAAGCCTTCGCAAATTTTCTTTAATAATAAAGATAGATTTAATTTTTTTATATTTTATAATATTTAATTTCTCCAATTTTTACGAAAATTAAACCATGGAAGGGCCGAGTTTTGTCGCTAACGAAATATGAGTGTGGACGAAAATTACCACCTTTGCGTTTTTGATTACGTCGAGAAAGATAAAGGTTATTCGAAACTAATATTTGAAATTGGGTGGCTGGGAGAGTGGGGTGGGGGGGGGGGGGGGGGGGGGGGGGGGGGGGGGGGGGAGGAAATTTTTGTCGTCGTGGTAGTGGGTTCCGGAAAAACGAAAGGTCATGCGATGTTAACGAAGAAGTGTGGAGAGAAAAGTTCATGTAATGTTTAAACTATTTTCTTTCGAAGTTTTCTCATAAATTCGTCATATTGTTTATTTTTTAAATCTTCAAAGTTTTTTTTCATTCTTTTTAAAGTTCTTTTCATATTTTTTATTAATCGAGCGAATTGAAGCTATATGAGCGAGGAGTTTCGCTTTTGTAGTGATTTGGCGAACTTCAAAAAGGTTTCGTCAACCAGAAAAATATTAGTTTAGTTTACACCCTTGATAGTTTACATTTCTAGTTACCTTTATCATGGTTATAATTTTATCCTTCGCCTGGCCGTTTGCTTGGATCCAAGATATTTAAAGTCTGACTTCTTCAATTGGCAATGAGTTTATAAAAAAGAGTTTATGAGTTTATAAAGAAGTATTTTGGCTTCTTGTATATAAAACAAAAAAACCCGTTTCAGTTTCATTTACATTGATTCTGAGTTCGATTCTCGCTGCAGTTGCTGACACGTTGTTTAGCATTGTTTGCATTCCGTCTTAAATGTATTACAAAAAGGACTACATCATCAGCGTATTCAAGATCTGTGATACGATGTGATGCTCTGGGCTGATTTGTATAGCTTGTGAATGCCAAGAAGCGGTGTCCATTATCCAGTCTATCGTTTAGTCGTATATTGCAGTGGAAATGATGCGACCTTGATAGACACCACTTCCTATTTCGAAGTAGAATATCAGTGGCCCCTATACATAGACCTGTTTCGAAGTACCCTGATAAAATAAGTTGAATGATCTTCTCTGGAGCACCATTGCATTTCATCAAACTACCTTTCTATCAATCGAAGATAGCCGCAAAGTTGATGAAACACGTAACATATTCGTATTTGCAGCCATATAGCGTAATATAAACATTTGTTTTCATGCTGATTTCGCTGCGATTTTCGCCAAACGAAAGAATAAAGCTCTGGTTGTAGCTATTCATGTTGAAATTTCGTTTATCGCCTGATTATTAGGTATGAGAGTGGATCCGAGATATCTAAAATTCGACTATATTGAACCTTAAAAACGTTGATGAATTTATTTGAATTAAAATCCTATCAATGTCTGCTATATAAAATAAAATGATCTCATTTACATTGATTAACATTGACATTGATTAGCTAATTTTTGTTGCTGTTGTCGATACCCGATTTATCCATAGTGCATTAACGAAAAGGACTACATACCAACTGTGATTCCTGATATTGGTCTATTCTGGACTGAACTATTCGCCTCTTTTTGTCTCTTGAATAGCGACAAGCAATGCTCATAACCTAGTCTGTCATAGATGGAAACCATTAGGTATGAAACTGTTAGAATGCAATTTTGCACACATACATACATGCAAACACCGATAGTCAAAAGATCGGATGTTCCCCGTCCGCATATACACTCGGTATTTGTTTATTTTTCTATACCAATGAACATAAAGTCGACAGATGTATTGTCATCGGCAATATTTCAGCAGGCACTTCATCTTTCTTGATTGCAGAAATCTTATATTCGCAATTGCAATCATACATTCTATTATAATCATATCTGCGATGCTGAATTTTATAGCTAAATTTAGCTTCAGATTCATAGAACTCCATCTGTTATGAGGTGAGGCGTCTTTATCTCGGATTATTCTACTGGGCATTTTTTCTGAACTCCACTTGCCTCATGAAGTACACTCGAGTCGCCCAGTCTTTGTTTAAAGTCACATCTTTCTAGTAAATTTTTGTTCCGTCTCGTCGCGATCATTGCGAGTCTATTGCTGATAACTAAGATCTCTTAACATATACTAGACCGTTTCATCTGAGATTCAACTCCGTCAGCAAGTTTTCCTCCAAACCAATATTTCTCCTCAGTTTTAAGGGTATTAAAGTCCTTTAATTGTTTCAATACCTCAACTTGAAATGTGCTGATGTGAATCTCATTTGAATCTCTCAACTTTGGCGCAAGCTTCCACAGAAAATGAATGCATGAAATGAGATGAGGAAAGAGGGAACGAGTGGTAATATATAACGAGTAATATACAATTGGCTAATATTATGCCGTTTTTAAAATATTTCTTTTCAGATTTCCGAGATATTTTTTTTTGAATACTGTACGGTTATATACAGTATAAACTATAGTATTTATTGTATTGGCAAAATTAACATTTTTATTTTCTTAATTTTGTGCTTGTTTATACATTATTTTTTTGTAATTATCGACTTTTTCTTTACGATTGTTGATATTTTATGAATTTTTTTATTTTTAGATATAAGTGATTCATAAGTGAATTATAGGCTCGGTTTGTGGAGCCCAATTTGATTTTTAATAAACCAGCGATGAGGATATCAAATTTGAAGCTATTATTATGTTTTGTATATATTTCATCATGTTTTATTTCATTTTCAGGTATGTTTAATGTTTTTTAAAATATTTTATTTGAACATTTATTGTTTTTTTATTATTTTTATTTTTATTATTTTAAAATATTCATTAATTGAGATTGTTTAATAAATTTGTTTGAAAGACAACAAAAAACGCAGAAAATTGAGTGGTGTCAAAAGTTAGTTACTCTTGGTTTTTGCAAGAATCATCTTATCAAGAATTATCAGACAATTTAGAATTTGAATTTAAAGTTTCTTTAATGAAACAATTTTTTTCGTCATATTTTGGTTACAAATGGTGTCAAATAAAACTAAAAGTAAATTTATGCCGTTGAAATATATTTATACTTCAAATATATTTATTTGCACAGGTAATTTCAAATATTTTTGAATATTTCGAGGATAAGAATTTTTATTGAATTTTTTATTTTTTCTTTTGTTTATAGAAAAGATTATCTTGAAACTTTTAGATTCATTACTGGCTGCTATGTCAGTTGATTTTGGATCGCAGTTTTTGAAAATTGCATTAGTTAAAGCTGGTGTGCCAATGGAAATTGTGTTGAATAAGGAAACAAGAAGGAAAACACCGAATTTCATTGCTTTTAAAGATGGCGAACGTTTATTTGGCGAATCTGCTTTGGCTTTTGTTAGAATATATCTAGGATTTATCTAGGATTATCTAGGATTTTAGGATAGTTTTCTAGTATTTCGAAAAGTAATTCTTGCCTTCGGATTTTTTGATTATTATTAATTTAAAATATTGTTTTAGCGATAAATATGCTTTTTTGCAGTCAGTTAAGCGGCCACAATATTCTTTCACTCACCTTGTGGATCTAATTGGTAAAAAAATCGATAATCCAATTGTAAAATTATATCAGAAAAGATTTCCATTTTCCAAATTGACCATGAACAATGCTGGAGATTCGCTGCATTTTGAAGTGTTAGTTTTTTCTAAAAGTTTGCTTACTTTTTTTCATGTTTTTTATATTTTCCTTCTGTATATGTATGGATATATATATGTATGGATATGGATATATATATATACATATGAATATTTTGTTTTTAAATTCTTTGGATAAATCAATTTTTCATGAATTCAAGGGGTGATACTAAATATAATTTGGAAACGCTTTTGGCAATGATCTTACAAAACGCTCAGTCTTTCACAGAGGAATTTGCTGGACAGTCAGTGAAGGACATTGTCATTACTGTGCCTCCATTTTTTGGTCAAGCTGAACGGCGTGCTCTTATTTCGGCGGTGAATATAACAGGAATGAATTTGCTTCAGGTATATAAAGTTTCGTAAATAGAAAATTAAATTTTTTTTACAAACAAAGATAACTAAAAGATAAAAGAGATATACATTTTTGAGTGGAACTCAGTTAGTGCTGAGCTTCCCTTCCTTTCTATCCTTAAATAATTTCTACAAAAGGTAATAGTGAAAGAGCTAATCAGACTAGAAATAGAAACTGTAAAACAGAATGTAAGGCTTAATCATAAGATTCCTTCGTATTTAAATAATAAGCTGAATCATTTCCAGCTTTTGAATCATCATTCGGCAGCAGGTCTTAGCTACGGCATGTTTCGGCGAAAACAAATTCAGGAAAAGGCAGAGACACTTCTTATTTATGATATGGGAGCCAGCAGCACTGTTGCCTCGATATTAGAGTATAGGCTGGAATTTGATAAGAAAGAAAATGAAAAAAATCCTGTGGTCAACACACTTGGTTTAGGGTATCGTTTTCTTTCACTGTTTATTTATCAGATTTTATATTTAATTATATAATATATATAATATTTTCCTCTACATTTTAATTATATAATATATATAATATTAATTTTAAAATTATATAATATATATAATATATATTTATAATATTATATATTATATTTAATTATATAATATATATAATATATATTTTAATTCTATATTTTATAATTTTTTTAGGTATGATCGAACATTGGGAGGCCTTGAATTGTCAGTAAGGCTTCGTGATCATTTTATTACAGAATTTAAAAAGCAAATAAAGATGAAGGAAGATATATCAATGAATGCTCGTTCAATGATGAAAATGTTGCATGAAGCTGAGCGTGTGAAAATAGTTAATACATTCGAAATTTTTCATGATTTTCTAAATTAGCTCTAGCTAAAATTTATCCACTTCCATTCTTATTTTCGAAAAATTGCTATGAAATATTTCGAAATGAGTTCACTTACCTTTTCTTTGAAAACTGAAAAATTTATGGAAAATAGCGATTTAAAAAAATTGCGAAATTATAGCAGAGAAGATCAAATGAAAAATTTTTGTAGATTTGCACGATCTTTATTCAAAAAAAAAAATACTTTTCTTTTTATTTTCCACATATTTTTGCAGGTACTTTCGGCAAACAATGATCATTTTGCCCAGATTGAAAGCGCACATGAAGAGCATGATTTCAGACTGAAAGTTACTCGAGAACAATTTGAAATTCTAATTAGTGATCTTGAACAGAGACTTGTAAAACCGATCATAGATGCTCTACAAATGGCTGAAATATCCATTAATCAAATAGACCAGATAGTTTTGATGGGTGCAAGTACGCGTGTGCCATTCGTTCAAGCCGCTGTTCAGAAATTTTTGAAAGAAAAAGAAATAGGGAAATTTTTAAATACAGATGAAGCAATAGCTATGGGAGCCGTTTATCAAGCTGCACATCACAGCAAAGGGTTTAAAGTGAAGAAATTTGTCGTCAAAGATTTGCAAATTTTTCCAATACAAGTAAATCTATTTTTATTTATGTACTTTTTTATTTATGCATTTTCTTAATTTAAGCTTTTCAATGCCTTAGAATTTTCAGGTTGATTTTGCGAGTAATTCAGACAAATCTACTGAGAGCCGTATTGTTCATAGGTCTATATTTAGCTATAAAAGCTTGTATCCCACGAATAATAAAATTCTTTCCTTTTCATCTTTCAAAGTCGATTTTCCATTTAATATCAGCTATGGTGAGCTGAAACATCTTAGTGATGAACAAAGAAGGTGACATTCTTTTTTTAAGTTATTTTTATTATACTTGAAAATAAATAGCTTATTTTGAGAGATCTTATCTTCGAGTAGAATCCCATAATTTTGATAAGGAAATTTCTAAACGCGAACGGGATCTGTATTGGAATTCATTGCTATGTATGAATTTGTTTTAGCGAATTTGGTTCTATGGTTGTAAGCAATATAGAATTAAGTGGTTTAAAGGATGCAGTTGATGCTGAATTGGTCAAAGATGGTACTATTTTCAAAGTTAGTGTCTTTATCTTGATATTAATATTATAATAATTGATAATATTATAATATTATCTTAATATTATATATTATATTTCTTAATATTATAATAATTCCATATAATATCTTTCGAATGAGATGTTTTCATTTATAGGGAGTGAAAACATATTTTCGAATGGATGATTCTGGTATTGTGCACATAGTCGCAGCAGATTTGGTGATTGAAAGAGGACCAGACGAAAAATCAACGTTGTCAGGTAGGTTCAATATTAGAACATTCAATTTTTGCCTTATAATTGGAGTTTTACAAAAGTAGCAAAATTCTTTTATGTAACATGTATTTATCCAAATTCAGGCAGATAATAAATAAGTTTTTACGTTAGCAAGATTTATGGAACAATTTTGTCAAATTGTCAAACAGTTTTAGCCATTGCTGATAAAATTACTGGTCTTTTTACGTCTGGACGTAACGTTGATGACAAAGAGGAAAAAAACGAGGCAATTTCAAAAGAAGATCAAACACGATATGAAAAAATGGATTCAAATGCAGAAGATTTTCAACCAAATAGTAAAGAAAATATGACCTTAAACGCAGTAATTTTTTGTTTACTAATAAAGAAATAATAATATTACAAATATACGAGAGAATCAAAAAGAATAATAAATAATAAATAGAAAATATTTCTCAAATATCAAAACTTTTACTTTTCATTAAGTGATGTTTTCATATTTGTGGGCTAAAGAAATTTGCCGTAATTGGAAATAGGATTTTTGATTATTTGAATATTTTATGTAATTTAAGTTTGATCTATGAAATATCCTGGATCTAAATTATCTTAAATTTGTTAATGCTTTCGACTATATTTTGAATTTATATTAAATAACGATAAATTTATAGGAACCACAAATGAACACAACTCAATTAAAGGTCTTCTTTCTTTTTCATTGATTTTTGTGGGTACTATGACTAATTCTTTTTCTGTTTTAGCTTATTTTAATCCGTTTTCTTTTTTTTCCTTATCCGTTTTTCTTCTGGCATAAATTCCTCAATCTATTATTTATTTATTTATTATTGATAATTTTATATAATTACAATTATTTACAATAATTGTAAATAAATAAATTATCTTTGAATAATTTAGACGAATATAACCGAAGAAAAAATTATTAAGCCAAAGGTTATAAAAATCCCACTGAAATTGTATGAGAGGCATCAAGATTTCATTGGACTTTCTGATAGTGAAATCCATGTTGCCAAAAAAAGGTTAACAATTTCGTAATTATAGTTCAATTTCAATTTCTTAAAAAATAATGGGATCATATGCTTTGATTTGACCATTCGACCATTTATATTTGTTCATTTTATAGATTGGATGATTTTGCGGATAAAGAAAGAATGAAGGTAGAACGAGAAGCTGCATATCATTCAATTGAATCTTTAGTTTATGATCTCGCATATAAATTAGAACAATCAGAATATTTGGTGCTGTAAATAATTACAATTGTTTCATTCTTTAATTAAATATTTTTTTAAATGTAAATAAAAATTGTGGTTTTGATTTTCCTAGCTATTGATTAAAATTTACATTTTTTTAAGATTTTTGTTACTGAGCAAGAACGGAAGGCTATCAACGACGAAGTTGCTCGAATTCGTATTTGGCTTGAAGATGAGGTTGGCGTTACTACTAGTACTGAGGAATTTATAAAAAAACGTCGAACATTGGATAATTTACTGAAGCCAATCGATTATCGAATCAAGCAAGAAAAGGTTTTTCACTTTTTTTGGTTCTTTTGACTTCTTATATTGTGTTTATTGTTAGGTAAAAAAGAAAATTTAAAGAAATTCAGAGCTATTAAGAAAAGTGTAAAAATGTTTAATGATCGACAATTTAGGATCGACCTCGTCTTCTTTCTGATTTCGTATCGATATTCAATCATTCAGAATCGTTTTTAGCTCTTGCAAAAAATCTTACCGAAATAGGTGTTTTCACAGAAGTGGAACGTTCAACCTTAGAAAAGAAAATAAATGAAACAAAGGTAAAACGTCTCAAGTACTTTTTTTCTTGTTTATTCTGCTTATTATTCTCTTTCAGCATGTTTTATTGTTCTTTTTTAAAGAAATTTTTTTTCAGATGTGGTTTATTGAAAATAATCAGGCGCAATCTCTTTTGAAACCTACGGATAAACCAGTTTATACTAATGAGGATTTACTCGACAAAGTGATTAATATCTTTATTTCTCTAAATAGATATTTATAGAATGAAACCCATTATGAAGTGCTCATGACTATAAATAACACTTTTTCGCCTGGATCTGTCAGCTGAATCGTCCTATAAATGAGAATTTTTTCCAGATGTACGATTTGGATCGCGAATTGAAGTATTTGTTCAATAAAATGAAAATTACGAAGCCGAAGAAATTGTTTGAGACTGTGGAACCGGGATCGAACAATACTTCATCTAATGAAACTGTGATTCCCACGGATGAACTAAACAAACAAATTAAATTAGATCATGAAAAATCTGACAAATTGAAAGAACCAGTAGAAGTCGATAAGAGTGAATCGACAAAAGTTAATACTTCTGAAGCGGACATTGTAAGGCATGATGCATCCGAGCTTTAATTAATTATTCAGTCTGTGATTATTTCTAATTTATTATATTTTTTGGAATTGTTATTTTTTCATTCTATTTTTCTTCTCCTATTAGCACAGTTTATAATTATTTTAATCATAAATATATATTCAGTTTGACGAGTTTTAATGCAGTCACATCCTTTATTTGTTGAATATTATCAATTATTTTATACCTTCATAAAGTCTAAACTTATTATTTGAGCTCAATTATGCATGTCTCCATTTTTTATTAATTATATTTCATTGTAATGTGGATGATAAATTTAAGTTGTTGAATTGTCGTTTGTTGAATTGTCGTCAGTTGATGCAATTTTCTGCAGTGAATCAGTTCTATATAGTTTCCTAAATTTTTATTTTTTAAGAGAATTTTAGCTTTATACTTATTTTGGCAAGCGATTTAGCAGTTTTCTGTTTGGTTTATGTACTGCAAATAGAGATACTCTTATTGTTAATAGGATATGGAGAAGGATGCCTAAGAAGTCGTTATATACTATCATCTCAGCTGCTCGCTGTAGGCGTTATCATTAAACAACGAAACATTTCGAGGAAATGTTCTATTTAATGATTATTTTCCTTGTCGCTTTTCTTCAGCTTCTTTTTGCTTCATCATATTTCGTTCATAAACAATATGGTAATAAATTCGACGTTAAGGTATTTTTTTAAAATTTATCTTATCCATTATTTTAACAAAAATGAAAAAAAAGCTATGGTTGGATATTATATGATTGCAAATCGAGAAAGCATCCAGAAATTTTTTTGAACATTTCTTTATCAGTTGAGAGAAATGTTCATTTTGCGAGTGCATAATGAATCTCGAAATATTCTTGAATGCTTATAAAATATTTGAGAAATTCTGGAATAAGAGGAAAAATTTGGATTAGGAATTTTTTTCTCAGGAATTCCAATTAAATATTAATAAGTTCAGAGATGGCAAAAAAATTCCAAAAGAAAAGAGCTTGTTTGTAGATATTTCCTTAATTTCATATTAAATGGAATCTTATTTTAGGAACGATTGCAGTTTAAAAAAGCATTAAAAATATTTAGTTAATAATAAAATTGATGGGGAACAGGATAACCGAGTGGATGATGACACAGGTTATCATATTAAAAAGCAATGGTTTGGCTTCTGCTCCTGATGGGAATAAACCTATTGTTAAAAAATCCTAGTGGTACTTGTAATTCTGTCGTTAGTGGTTGCTTAGCGAAACTTCCTGATTTGTTAACTTTTATGATTATTTGTTAATTGTTTTTGATTTGTTAACTTTTATAACTTATTATACTGGAGCGAACTCTAACCATAAATTATATGGTGCAGCCATATATTTTTTCATTTAATAAATTGGTGGAAAATTTTATCACCGGTTTGTCATCTCTCGAAAAAAATGGAAATTTTTCCCATTCATGGATTCAATTTTTTTTCTTACTATCAAAAATTATTAGGTGATCCTTATATTTTTTGATGTTTAAATTTTTTGAACATTAAATATTTCCATAAGCGTTTATAATATTTTTGATTCGTTAGCATTTTGAATATGATTTTTGAATTGTAAAATAACGAATTATTTTTAAGGTACTTGGAAATATTTTTACTGAAAAAAATTTATTTTTCATTAAAAAATTTCAGAATTTATGCCTTATTCACAAATCACTAATGGAAAAAAGTTAAAACCCATTTAAAATATTTCTTCAATAAATGAGATAAAGGATTTGGTGAACGATTGTAATGATCGAGTTAGATTTTTTCGATATCAAAAGGAAATTTTATGATTGTGGTTTTTTCGAAAATTTGCATAATATTAAATATTGTGGGGATTCATTTGCATTAAAATAATTTTCTGCCAATTTTAGTTATTCTTTGCGATCAAATCCGAATTTTCTGACATTAAAATTGGTAATAATAATAAAAATGAAAAAAAAAAATGTGACAGGGAAAGTGGTTAGTAATGATTGATGACATCTGACGGGAAAATGGTGACAAATCTGATAAAAAGTTGGTGTAAAAAAGTGGTAATGGTAATAATAATCCGGATGGTCTCATGGATGGCGATCGACTCACATGTACCAATTAGTGCGACAAACCGGTAGAGCGAATCTACCCAGTGATGGCGAGAGCTTTTTAAAAAAAGGAAAAAACAAAGTAGGAAGCAAATACAAAAAGGAAACACCAGTGAATGAATATTGAACGGTGATTGGGTATTTCTTACTAGATTTTCTCGTTCAAGGTTCAATTAATACGAACTAAAAAAATAAATTAGCGTTTGAAAAATCACGATAGCTGTGCGCATCGTCACTAAAAAATATGGGCATGAGAAGGTCGGTTAAATATCTCGCCGTATCCCTTTTTTTATCTTTCTACATCAATTCTGTTGCTTATTATAAATTGCTTAATACATTATTGGGAAGGATTCCTCTTTGTTTATAAGCTGAACTAATTAAATTTTCCATTGAAAACTAAAAAAATCCATTTTTTATAAAAAGAAATATCGTTTATTTATAATGAAATATCCGGCGCACTTTTGCGCAAAATTTAATTTTCTTTTATTTTAGCTGAATAAAGTTCAAATAGTTTGGTTACCTTAGTTACTTTCGGATTTTCTCTATCAATAAATTTGGCATGAGACAAGGCTGAAACAGTTTTTGGGAAAACAAATCTTCGCACATCGTCGATTACATTATAATTACCATATAAATTATAAAATACAAATATTCTTTTACGTACATTTTTCGTGAGAAATATGTGGAAATATTTGATAAAGTTTCTCTATTTTACTCTCTAATTTAGGGATTTAAAAAACTAATTTTGAGAGACGAGTTTTTAAAATCAGTTCTCAAAGTTTCCGTACAATTTTTGATGTTTGAGTAAGCACAAGGGTATTGTAGGAGGACAAACATTTAAGGCTAATCATTTTTGGTTAGGCTCGATCCACTGGCCATAAGTTAAAAAATTTTTGCCAGGGATTCATTTGGTGTTAGAAATGCAGCTGAAATTTTTTTAAGAGAATTTAAGAGAATAACCACTCGGCTGTCCTGCTTTCTAGAATAATAAATTATTTTTAATAATTTATTTATTGTGAAAATATAATTCGTTGAAAATGTTCTAAATAATATTAAACACCGTTCAAAAAGAAGGAAGTAACAGATTTAAATTATTTAATAGAAATAAAAATAATATTTGCATAATATAAAGAAAATGATTTATATTGCTTTGTGACGAATTATTTTATTTCCAAAAACCCAGAAAACCACATAGTTCAAATACAATTCATTAAGTTAATTTAGAAGTTTTTCTAATTCTAATTAAAATTTATATGATTCTAATAAATAAGTTATATATTTATTTTAGCGAACGTTGGCTAGTGGTCCTTGGGGACTTAAACCTGGAAAGCGCTCATTAAACCAACCTATATATTCTGTCAAATCATGGTACTTCGCTACAATTTATCTCATAAATTTCCAATCAACATTTCAAACAATGAAAACCAATGATTCCAACATTTATTATCTAATTTTTAAGGTGATAACAATCTATTATTATTTATCAAATTAATGAAAAGGATAAATAAATTAAAGATTCAGACAGAAATCATTTGGTAAAATTCTGTGGTTGGGCCCATATATATATATATATATATATAATTTTTATCAGAACTTTTTATCTTTTGCCAGATTATTAAGCAACAAAGATACTAAGGTACTATTTCAGTTTGATATATAATTATTAGAATTCCACTGTTTTTTAAGGCAACTATTTGCATTTTTTCAAGATTCATTCGCAATAATCTATCCTAATATTGAGTTTTGCCTACTGAACGTATAAAGGATTTGTCTTTGTCGTGCTAAACTAACATGCTAATACTTGGATTTTAAGGATTTTTCCTTCAATATGGATCAATAATTTTCATAAAAAGTTATTATCCGAGCTGATCCGAGATTTCTGTCCCAAGATATGTTGTGTAAATTTCATTGTATGGTAGCTATTTATATATTGAAATAATCTACTGGTAATTAAATCTTTAATTGTTCAATAAAGCTGAAAATATTCGAATTACACGATTAAGAAAAGAAATTATCAAATATGCCTATAGTAGTTACTGCCTTTCTCATCGAAAATTGAACAACAATTATGCACAAAATAATAAAAAACTTCGTAAATTATTAATGAACTGGAACCAATCGAGAACAAAAGAATCCAGTTTTACTAACAAAAATTTTCCATCATTAACTTTTGATGTAAACGATGCTCGTTATTTGAGGTAAAAATTAGTATTAACGAAAATGCTTGCTTGTGTTTCTTGAATAAAATTTAATCCAACAGCGTTTTGCTAATGTCCTTTATAAATCAATTAATTTTATCTTTATTCTAAATAAATCGAACAAATTATTTTCCGCTTTTTATTTTTGTAAATTTCCTTATTTATAATATTTTAAATAATTCATTTAGAACGATTATTGCGAAACCACGATAAGTATAGAAAAATAAATTTTTATTTGCGACGATTTACTTGTTTGGTGCTTCAATATGTTTTATATCTCCACAAATCCGGAAAAAAGCCAGCTAGATATGCCGAATAATGCCGAGACGCCATATTAAGAAAGCGGTTATTTGCAATGAAACAATTTTTCCTTACGATTTTCGAAAAATTTAAGTTCAGCGTAATTGAAGCCTCGAAGCTTCACTGGTATTTAAAGCAATTTGATCGCTTGTTTATGAATGTTCTTCAGTTCTCATGGCATTGTTTCATTTTTTATAAATATTTAAATAAGCATGAAAATAATTTTTCATGATTTCGTATAAATTAGAAATGAAAAAGGCTTTTAATTTCTGAACAGTTGCATATGCCATTTATGGAGGAAATTTTTAAGGCCTTATCCATATCTTGAAAATCATAGCCACCACCAGTCACCAGAAATCATCAAACTTTAGAGTGGTCAAACAAAAAATTCGTAAAATTGTTAGGTTGGAACTAACTCGAAACAACTATTTAGATTAGTCGCTCAGTGCATTCATTCACTATACGACGTTATAATAGAACGGTTTTTAGTGGAAAAGATAGGCTTTTCGCTTACCTGGAACTGTATTTGCATGCTAAAGAGAGATCAGTTTTTCCAAAACTAAACGCAGAAAGTTCTGATTCTTATATCGAAGCATTTATATGAAATTTTTCATAAAAATTATTTATTTCATATATTATTTTATTAATATTAATTATTTATATTAATTATTTATTTCATATATTTTTTATTTCATTGGTTCAAAATATTTGGTAAATAAATTGCTAAAATTTAAATTTTTTTGTTGCTTTTGGAATCACCTTGGAGAGATTTTATTTACATATTAATCAACGATTTTATATATTAAAAAAAGGAAGATTGGTAAAATCGATAGTCAAGGAAAAAACTACCAAAACGCCATGATTTGATTTCTATTTTTTTAAATATTAAATATTAAATTTCTATTTCTTTAAATATGCAAAGAAAAGATCAAAATGAAGTTGCTCTTTGATTCCAGAGTGAAAAGATTGGTTCAGCTTTGGAACAGTCAATTATTTGGAGTAATTGATTGCGCAAAACAGTCCTAAAAAAATAGTGGCAAATATAAAATATTAAATCGGCAAATAAAAATTTTAATGTAAATTTTTGATCGCCCGGAAAATGCCGATTTTCAATTTTCATGGAACACTTGCCCAAATGGCATTGGCATACATCAGGCAATGTATACATATACATTTATATGCTGAAATATGATGCTACAACTGCCTCTGTAAAGGAGTTTGGGTTCAGATAAGTTTCGTAATATTTTGAAGAAGGAAAAAAACCAAGTGCATTTTAGATGACTGGTTCTTTTTAAAAAGAAAACTATTGATATCTAGGAATGGTGGTGTTTTTTTGAGAAAACTGGAAGTCCGCTAGGCTTCGACTTTACAATCTCAACGTCAAACGCCATAAAGAGAGGTAAAAATTTGTTATGATTATGAAAATGAGAAGCCGATCGCTTTATATTAGAACTGGCGGCTAAAATTTTCACCAGATTGAACCTTCAGATTAGCACTTTTCTTGAAGCATTTAGGCAAAATAAAAAACCTTACTAAACATTTTGATTTGATTACCTAGCAAAATTTCTAGCCGTATTAGCAGTAAGTCTAAGTAGAAATGGTGAACCATTTTATTATTTACATTGATAAATTTAATAAATTTAAGAAAATATTCTAATCGAATGAAATAAGGCGAAAAATTGCGGAATAAAACGATACATTTCAGAAAGATTTACACCAAATAGTTTTTTTAATACTCCCAATATTCCTTAAAAACTTTCTGGAAAATCATATCTCAGTCATATCTCATATCATATCTCAGAAAGTCTCAGTTAAAATACTAACCTTTAAGGCAATAAACTAAATCACTCTTCGTATTTCAATTATTTTCCAAGATTTTATTCAAGCTTAAATTGACTTACTGTTGGTTTTCATGGAACTCATAATCTGGTGGTGGAGAAAAAGATGGAAAGTATAATTCAGATTGCGAAGTGCTATAAATTGGAGGTGGTGAATCGCAGTGATTGGTTGGTGATAATCTTCTGAAATCGAAAAAAGAAGGTAGAAATTAATAAACCCTTAAAAAATGGAACCAGCAAAAATGAAGCGATAAATGCTGATTAAGGTGTGAAAAATGGATGTCGACTCACAAAAATACACTCGTTGAGCGAAAACTCTCTCTGAAACCTTCTATTGTCATTGAACTCAGATTTAATATATGTGATATATGTGATTCGCTATTATTTTTAATTGACAGGTTTGTATGGCTTATAGAAAGATTTTTAAAATCTAAACTTAGGTCTTTTAGAAACAACGCAGACATCTTATTTTTGTTTAGATTATCGTATCAAGGATTCGGAACTTCTCTTCGACTTGGGTGAACCTCCCGTTAAAAAATGTAAAAATTTCTCACTGTATTAGTTATTGGGAAAAGTTCAACCAGAAAAAATAGCATAGGACAGGTTGAGTAAAATTTTGAAAATTGTAATAAATTTTTCTGAATCATTGATATATTTTCACTGTTCCTTATCGTTATCTTTTTTCATAAAACAAACTATTTAAAGGGTGATAAACATTAAAGGACTTCAAAATTCCACACTAATATTGTAATTTCTCTATTGTGAAGACAACTTTAAATTTCTTCATAAATTTCAGTGAGAAAAAGCACTAGGCAAAGCAATTTGCCTATGGCAGTTAAATGATATACTTGGAAAGCGAGTACCAATAAAGCAAAAAATTTGTAAAAGCAAATTTGTAAAAGCAATCAAAATTTGTAAGAGCATCTAAAGCACCATGTAAAAGCATCTAAGCAAATTTGTAAAAGCATCTAACTAACCTTACCCACGGTGAATCAAGCGTCAATTGTGGCAAAGGATCAAGTTGATAACATGTTCGTAATTGTAAGCAGGCAGCATTGATATCTGTTACTTTTAACATAAAAACTATAATAGCGAATAAGATAAAGAAATGTTAATCCGATTAAACTATAGATTATGGTTTAGAAAGTAGTAATTTCATAATGTTTTGGATGGTATTGCTCATTTCTCCAGTCATACAATTGATCACTGAGGATGCAAATATATATTGAAGTGATATCTGTATGTTCAAATTATTGACTAAAATTTAATTAAGGTTGCCCTGAAAGTAAAGCCAATCAAGGGGTTTGCTTTCTATTTGTTCATAAGATAAATAGATAATAGCAGCTGTAGATGCAAACTATTGTATGTTACCACTGCTCTCAAGGTCGAATGTTCGTCATTTTCGCATTTTTAATTAATATAGTTAGCTAATCGTTGAGCGTTGAGCGCCATTTGGTTAGATCCTCTTATGTCTCTTCATCGTAGCATGATTTATTTATTATTCAATATTATAGAAGATTTTTAATAAATGCTTTGGAGAAATGGTGCGATAATGATGGTCGACCAACTTACTCGTTGTTAATTTCTGCTACAACCGATGATTGACTATGTTATCAATGATTTATTCTTTTTAAAATAAAGTCATTAATCTAAAAAATTCTTAAAAATTTTATTTTACCTATAGTTTTGTTAATTATTATGTTAACTAGCGATAGCCAAGATAAAATCTAACTTATCCTAAATCATTAATAAATTTATAAAAAATAGGCATTAATCAGCATCTAATATGCAAGCAGAAAAGGCCTCGACTTGTTTATATTGCTCTGGAGACTTAAATCCTTGGTTTGATGAGAAATTAAAATAAAAAAACTGACCTCTAAATGAGCACGCACGGTACGAAACAGAATCAGTTCTTCGAAGTGACTGCAAATACACGTTTGATAAAGTTTGTCTACTTTCAATTAAATCTGTTGATATTAGCCACCAAGCTAAGATGGCAACACCCAAAAGTAGAAGTGCAATACCTGAAATCAAAAAAATTTCCATTAGTTTTTGGCATAAGATGGTCATCCATCAGATATCCGTAAATTTCGAAATATTCAACTAGTTTAGCCAAAAATGACTTTTTTTATGATTTTCTTATGATATGATTATGATTTGATGTAATGATTTGATTGAATGATTTGATTGATATGATTTTGTTATGTTATGATTTTATATTATATTAAGCAGAGAAACAAATAATTCAAATGGATGACATTCGTCTATTTTCTGAAAACTCTGAACTGCTCAAAAATCACTGATAATGACTGATTTCTTTCTGTCGAATGTGGCACCTCTCATAAATCCATCAGAATGATCGTTATTTTAAGAAAAAATTTTTTGTTTCGAACTAGGAGGCACTATGTTAGCAAAGTAAAGGGTTAGCGTTTACCATTTCTGGTTAAGCTTACTCCACTTTCTACTAGTAATATTAGAAATTTTTGCCAGAGAGTGAACTGGAGATAGAAATAAAGGTAGATAGTTGAGTCGCCACCACCATCGACTAAGGATTTTTGAACGAGAGATTTGCTTCAGCTGGTCAAGGCTTGACTCTGAGTTACTCAGCTATCCTTCCTGTGGCACCAATATGAATTGGCATGGATCTGATCCACCACGGATTAAAAAAAAATAAATTCAACTAATTGTTACTTACCAACAATGAAAAATCGTAATGTAATTGATGCAACACTTATCAAAACCAGTGTTGATAATATAGAATATATACCCAGAAGTGCAACAACAACAATGAAAACTCTTATAACAGAAAGAAAAAATTTATCGCTGGAGCCATTAATCATTGCAGCATTATTATTCAATCAGCACTGAAAAGTTTTTTGGAATTCGATTCAGTACAAAGTTACACTTCCATTTCTTTTAAGAACAGATGCGAAATATGCTAGGATTGGTGACTATGTTATTGAGATTATTTGTGAAGGAGGGGCGCAAATCGTCACATAGCCATCTGTTCATTCGCTTGCCTGGGCCATTACTGTTATTTTCAGAGGTCCTTCATTTTAACTATGCACAAACCAACTGTGTTATTATTTAACTCATATTTCAGTGATAAGAATTATAAGCGATATGCAATAACTATTACACATGGCTATTTATTCGTAATTTTCAAAATCAGTTAAATAAATTGAAATTCTTTCAATAATTCTTTAAATTTAAACAAATTTTCTTAATCAAAGCCCATCTGGTTAATATATTTTTTCGATGTGGCCAATTAGCACTTATCATTTTTAATTAGTTATTTTAAGTCATTCGGCTGTTGGTACTATAAAAATTTTCACTAAAAAAACTCTTTGCCAAGCAGCCACTTGAACTGCTACCTTCAGCACTGCTCAGATTTTTAAAGCTTGCTATTCACCGAGGCTAATCAACAATTACCCCTATTCCTTTTCAGTGAACCACTCGAGAAAGTTAAGAAAGTTAATTATTGAAATTTTTTTGTCTTTTATTAACAATTTTATCTTACAAAACGATCGGTGAGCATTTTCCTTCTTCTTCTAACTAACTCTCACCATTACTGGCTAGGCTTGCTCCACTGGCTATAAGGGCAAGTCGTTTCCAAACGGCACCGTCTGACGCCATCATAAAGAATTTAAAGATTGTAAAATTTTAGTGATTCTCAAATATTTCTAATTCGAACGAGAAAGTGTCCAAATTGCTTGCAAGGATATTTTGAATAACAAGAAGTTATCAGAAAAGGTGTGTTGATAAACTTTATACCACTGAAAAATTTCATTTAATTTTTTCAAATTTCTGTAGAAAATTGCATTAGTGCAGATTTGGTTATAAGTCTTGCGCAACGAATAAATTTTTTTTATGACAGTGGTTCTTAAACTGATCTTCCCTTTAAATTTTCGCTTCTCTGAGGTTTTTTGAGATTGTTGAGGTCATTTTAAGAGCTTTTAAGACATATACCTCTCAATATCTCACTATAAATTTAAATTAAACTATCGGAGGATCACATTGTGAGATTCACCGGTTGCGAAGTAGCCTCATATATTGATATAATTTTAATTATTGCAAATATTAACAAATGTTTCCTCAAAACTTATATATGCTCAATGATTTTTGAGCCAGAAGACCACATCCTAATAGTTAATGAAGCTAGTCAAATAAAGCAGAAATGGTGAATCAGAAGAAGAAATTTATAAAAAACGGAATTACAAAGCAAATTGTATAGCAATGCTACTTATACAGAGCAAAATTTATAATGATGAAACCAAAAAATTATAATAGCCAAATAACAACTGCACGCATAAATATAAGCATAGTAACAATAATTTTTATATCAAGTACTATTAATTTTAAAAATGGCACTAATATTAATAATAGTGAAAATAATAATAATAGGTAAAGATGGTAATGATATTAATAATAATAATAAGACCCACGCCTTATCCATTGGGCCATTATTATTATTATTATTAATTATTATTATTAATTATTATTATTATTAATTATTATTATTAATTATTATTATTATTAATTATTATTATTATTATTAATTATTATTATTAATTATTATTATTATCTATTATTATTATTATTATTACTATTATTATTAATTGTTATTATTATTAATTGTTATTATTATTATTATTTTATTATTATTATTATTAATTATTTATTATTATTATTATTATTATTATTATTATTATTATTATTATTATTATTATTATTATTATAAGTACTGGTAGCGATATTAAATGATAATAACGTAAAAATTAACTTAATAATTAGTTGATAGAGTGGTAAAGCGAGAAAGCTTGTATAAGAAAAACATTGAAGCTCTATGATATGTTGGATATTGGCAAAGTCTGTAGAATAAAAACGGCTCTTTTTTTTCAATTTATTCCACCTTTGTGTGAAAAATAAATCATTAATTATTAATATATAAACAGTACGCTGCATAGAGTTGCTCAGCAGGTTGTTGCTCAATGCTGAATACCGATGCTGAGGTTCTATTCGCCGCAATAAGAATAAGAAACCTGTCCAAAAATCTGGGTGTTACAACTCATCTGTATTTCTATCGCCAAGGAATGCCCTGGTATGCTTGTCTAGTGCAACAAGCCAGTGGAGCGAGCTTAACCAGTAAAGTATTGGATAAGAATTACTTTAAAAGCGAATTCATCACGAACTAAATTAAATAAAAATTTTTATCGAATTATTGAAAAAACAGTTAAATCTTATTACCTTCAAATTCCGAATATTTAAGAAAATTTTGTGTGAAAAAGAATCGTTTCACTTAAATAGCTTATGATATTGGTAAGTAAATTTTTTTTTTAATCACCATTACTGGTTAGACTCGCTCCGCTGGCTTGTCGCATTGGACAATAAGCCAGGGAGTCCCTTGGCGATAAAAATAAAGATGAGTCGCCAGCATAAACCGGATTTTTGTACAGGTTTACTCCTTCCGGGAATCGAAGCCTTAGCATCGGCGTTCCCAATTGAGCAACAACCCACTGAGCCATTCTATCCCCACTAGTAAGTAATTAGTCAGAATGAAACAAATATTATCTAAAATTAGAAACGATGGGCAATTTTCAATAATTAGTTTGATAGAATTAAATTATAATTCAGCATTAACGCATATATATAGGAAAAATTATTAAAATTGTTGCTCAAATTCCCTTTTTTTTGTTTATTCACAAAATGAGTTTATTTCATTGATTTCTTTAGTAGATTCGTGATCCATAACACGTTGCATATGTGTGTGGCTGTTTGTGTGAGAGTCAGTAAGATCTTTTTATTAGTAAATAAATAATGATTTATCCTTAATTCATGCCAATATTGGCGAATTTTGGCAATTATTGAAATACTACTGAACTCCTTAAAACAAGCAGTGAAAAAGTTAAGTTGATCGGTTAGACCAATTTGAATTTGATTTAAACGCAAGATTTCTTGACTATAGAATGCTAGTAAATAAAAAGTGATTTAGTAAAATATTCTCACTAATTCTAAAAAATTTCGAAATAAAGAATCAGATTAATAAAAATTTGCAAAAAAAACACAACCTATGCTAAAACCAAATCATAATCGTACAAAATCAATATCTGTATGAAAATTGATAAAATACTTAAAGCGATGTGAGATTTCAACTTATCACAAAACAATTCTATTGGTGTTGTTCCCTTACGTTCAACAGAAATAAATAACAAAAAATATTGGATATAAGGAAAGATTCAGGAAAGCGACAATTAAAATCAAACCAAATCGAATCGTTCTATTATCATCCATTATATTTAAGCGATCGCTTTTCAAACACTTTTAAAAATTTTCGAGAACTACAAAATACGGTTTAAAGAGAAAATTAACGAAGGACCAACAAGCAATTGAAATTCTTTAAAATGAAATTTTCGAAGTGATTAGTAATTAATCATACGGAATATTTTAATTAATCAAATAATATAATAAAATAAAGAAAAAAGATAAACGCATTTGAGTTAATAATAAAAATAATAAAAATGATTAAACAGTTAATAAGAGACGCTCAAAAAATTTATGGAAATGGATTTACAGAGAAAAACAATGCAATCAAATAATATGCAAAAAGAAAAAAATTAAAAAATTAAATTAAAAAAATTTAACTTTTTTTACATTTTTCATTTGAATTCTTTAAAATAAAATTCTTATAATTTAAATTGCCGAAGAAAGAAATATTGCACTGATTGTTAGCCTATTAACATGCATAAATGAACTTATTAACTGTACTTTCATCAATCATCTAATGAAATGTTCATAATAATGATAAATCTATAAGAAGCATAGAAATCGATTCTGCTTTCCAGATTTATTAGTTTGCAATCAAAGTGTATTTTCAATCACTTCATATATAGTTATATGTTAAAAAAGTTACAAAAATTTTCGAAAATTATGGAAATAATGAATTCTTTACAAGCGAAAATTAGTAAAAGCAACGTGAGGAATTCTCAATATTTTCATCAGTTCTATCAATAAATTTAAATTTAATTTAACAATGAGGACCATCTAATTAAATTGATACTGTTTCATGATGAAATAGCTGCAGTTTGCTGTCGCATACCAACTATAGACTCGGTTGATGCTGGAGATGAAGCAGCTACCGGTGTAACTGAGCGAGACGATCGACCTATTTGACCTGTTTGGCAAAAAATGTTATGTTATTATATATGTTATTATATTCATCTGAATGTTTGACCATTTATTATTCATTTCTCAGTATTGGCCAAGGAGACCAGTAAAAACTCTTAAACTCAGTTAGACCACACTTAATTTTAACTCATTAACTAAAATCCTAGACAGTGGCTGAATGGTTCTTTGTCAAATTCTTGATTCAAATTCTGTGTTTGAATATTTCAATAAAGAATATAGTTACCATTCTCACTGCCATCAAATTCGGACATATTGTCATCGATTGACATTGTCCTTTTTTTGTTTCTCATTAAATTTCTTTCCTTAACCTTGTATTCAAGAGTTGAATGTGGCACACCATAAAAACTACCAGCTCGATGAACAGACATTTCTCCTCGTTTTACTGATTTCACTGCTTCATCAAGAGCATCTTTATCATATTTTCTAAAAGAAAAGGTGAAAACAACATATTCACAATGTAGCTTAACAGCACAATTCTAAACTTCATTTTTCACGGGCAGAAAGAAAATGAATATGAAAGGTATTCTGATGCACCTTCTAACGACATAAATTTACAGATCTAGTTCCATAAACTATGCTAAAAAAAGGAGTAAATCATTTTTATGATGTTTAACTCATGGTGTACCATAGATTTTGAGTCATTTAATTTATTATAAACCCCTATTTAGTTATCCTTTTTCATATTTGAATTCACATCTTACAAAAATTTCGAGATTTTGAAAAAGATGGTGTAACCTGTACTGTCCTCTTTTTGCTCGTGTTCGTTTCCATTCCATTTGATTCTCTGTGTTATCTTCCGGACTATGGCTTTTTGATAATTCTTCGACGATGACATCATTTTCTAAAATCGAGGGACGCCGAGGAAAAGATGACCACAAAGTTTTTTTAGCTTCAGATACAATTGGTGATGTTGGCAGAGCTTCTAAAAATTCTCACTAATTGTAAGAATTATCGGAATTATTAATAGAACGAAATAATCTATGTTATACCATAGATTTAAATTAAATCATTCAATTTATTATAAATTGCTATTCAATTGTCCTTTTTCATTAATTTTGAGTTCAATCAACTATTGATGGATAAAGTTAGCGACCGGTTAGCGACGATTCAGGATTAATCGAAGAATTACGACTCTTTATTGAATCTTTATGTTCCCCATCTATCTTTGATTCCACATTCGCATTTTCCTTAGATTGACTGAAATATTCGAAATTATTGGGCAATTTTTGTGGATCGACTATCTCTGAATATTTTGTGTACCTTACAGATAAGTGTAAGTGAAAAAGCATTAAAAATTTTACTCATTATTCATTGCTCATTACTCATTATTGGTCATTATTACTCATTATTCATTATTCATTGGTCTGTCGGTATAAATTTTGCCGCAGTACTATTTACTTAATTCCAAATTTCTTAAAGGGCAAATTTAATGATTAAATATCGAATTACCTACTTCTTTTTTCTTTTCTTTGCACTTTTTGCACTGCAGAATTTTTTTTCATTTATTTGACGCCTTCTCTTTTGGCTTCGTTCACCATCGATATCTTCAGATGCTTCCAATTTATAAATCTTATTCCTTAGCGTTGATCTGAATTTCACTGATGTCCAACTTTGATATTTAAAAATATTTTTAAAATGAAAAATTTTTTCGTTTCACTTTTCAATTATAATTCAATATAAGAGCAAAAACAAATAAAAAATGAAAAGCTTCAATATGTTTATGGCTATAACCTTGGAACTCCATAAACAACACTAGCTCTTCTTGTTCCAAGACGTCCACAACGGATATCCTTGACTGCTGCATCCAAATCTGCTTGAGTATAAGCTCTTCTAACTGTTCCAGTTATGAGAATTGGTGGAACTGGGATTTTTTCAGCTTGAGTATCAACTGTGAGATCATTTTTGGCTTTTCTAAAGAGCATAGTCTAAATAAATAGTCTACTGTAAGTGTTGAAGCTTACCTGTTGCAAATCAATCACCTTGTGTCATATATGTTTTATCTATTTAATTTATTTATTATCTTAAATATATAAATGATGAATAGCTGTGAAAATCAACCCAAAAAAATTACTCAAATGGTTTTTCCGCAAATTTTGAAAGTGGAATAAAGGAATCGATGGCATTACGTTTCCGTTTTGTTTCACGAAACTTTGAACCAGGTGAAGTAGAATTTTGAGCGTTTTGCAAAGCACGCTCACGCTTTGAACTCAAATCGAGCGGCTGTTCATCCTTTCCCATTTCACTTTCTTCATTTGTTGAACTTCTTTGTAAATTCGCCATTATCTTAGCAAATATATCATAACCGTAAAATGGATTGATATCACCGTGATCTGAAAGTTAAGTTGCTGTATATATATATATATATACGGTAGCCAAGTTCAACGCTCCAAGACTGTACACCATCCGAAAAAAAAGGCGGGTGGGGCTTGATAAATATGAAAGCCACTATCTTAAACGAAACTCGAAACACTCAAAAATATATTAGCAAGATGGCACCAAAGGATGAAGTGCTAAGAGAATGTCCGAAGTATGTATAGGCATTGGAGAACGACCAAGCAGAGGAAATACCATGGCAAAGCAAAGCTCTATGGATTTCATCATCGACAGATAGCTGAGGCAGATATTATGAAATCTTACCAGTGGTTGGGGAAAGGCGGTCTAAAAGGCAATACTAAGCATTAATTTACAGTATAGGAAACACCAAATATCAAATCCATCATAAGGATCTACCACAATAGGACTTAGGACTTTAGATGAAGAGCCCAAAATTACTGTGGTGCTTCGGTTAACTCGGGATGAATAGGCTTAGCGATTTTTATGTCTGATAAGGCCCATTCTGCTTTGAATGAGTGAAAATCAATAAGCGATCGATGGCCTATGTCCATTTTAAAGGTAAATTCTGCAATATTTTGGTTATTAGTGTCTATGCTCCAGTTTTGTCGACAGATGACCATAATAAATTCATGAGTTCATTTTTTTGCGAGATTCAATTGCTAATTAAAAAAAGTTTTTCTATCGAAACATGACATGGTCATAATCGGAGATTAGAATGCTAGCGTTGGTCATAATGCCGCTTTGATGGCCTCAACAATTGGCAAATATGGCATAGGAGACCGATACACCAAGGAGGTGTCTTCTTCGTTACGCTAAAGATCATGAACTTTTTGTTACTTTGTTACTTTTTGTTATTTACTTCTGGCATCAAAGAAAACATCTACTCACATGGGATTCCCGGACAACCAGCCCTCCAATTAGATCACACTGAGCGCATTTCAAACAGAATTATTGAAGCATACAAATACAAATATCATATGACACAAATATCAACGGTTTTTTCTGGAACGGCAGATGAAACAGATACTTGTCCCAACTAAAGGAATTCAGCCACTTCCACGCTAGGACGTACTAGTAAGAACTGTGCTAGTCGGGCAACGCAATGTCCAACTGTCCGAAAAAGAGATAGATCCTAACTACCGGATATTTCGAAGAATTACAACAACACAGTCTTTTCGTCTTGTATGCAAGAAGATGATAAAAGACCTATTTTATCAATAAGTTGCCAGCTGAGGAAGTGTCAGACTTTAAATATCTTCGATCCACTTTAAACCGGAACGGCCAAGCAATAAACGAAATTAAAACCAGAATAAAGATAGAAATAGCTTCTTCGATTGACGAAATCTTTGTGGAATCGTCGCGAAATCATTATAAAAACCTCGTCTATAAATCTGTAATTCGTTCTTATTTAGAAGCTAACTACCCCCTTTAACCTCATATCTAAGATATATTTTACATGGAGCTGGCAAAATCCCATCCTATGATCCCATTCACCTTCATTTATACCATCTGAATTAACAGTACCATCACATCTCCTTCATTGGCTAATGCACGTTATTCATCGTCTACCGCAGTAGTTGATACATATTTCGTTAATTATTAAACATTCTAATGGTGTGAAAAGCGAGGTGAGCTATTTAAGACCCAGACTATATAGTCAGAAAATATTTTGAAAGCACAGGACCAGTGATATGTGGACTTAGATTGTGGGAAAAGATTATATCGTGCAGCTTGGAAACATCTTGCACTTGTAGCCAGCGATGTCAACCTAACCAGTAATGGTGACAGCTGTTAGAAAAAGATGTGGTTAACTCCCATTATTTTTCTTGTTAGGCTACCTTCACTGCTGTTAGCGCTGTTAAAAAATTTTTGCCAGAGATTCACTTCACAAGACTGGTGAACTGCACCAACCAGATTCCTCAATAACAAATTCAATAACAAATTCACTCCTGTCGAGGATTAGGTTGGCACCTTCGAGGCATGAATTAAATCCTTGTCTCTCAACACCTTGTTCTGAGCCACTATCTACTCCGCATTCATGCTTATTTGTTTATTTAGAAACCATTTTTATTTATTTAGGTACGATAATCAAAATCACTACACAATAAATATATAAATAAGGTTATATATATAATAGAACTAGTGATATTAGAAAATGCAATATTTAGGCCCGATATCTTCCTAATTTATTTAAAAATACTATATAGTTATAATTATGTAATTCACCCTATATAACCTAAGAAATAAGTAATAATAAGTACACATTTTTGCTCATAATTTGCAGTCTTTTGAATGCAAAAACATTTTGCACATGATTAAATTATTTGGACGGTTCAGTTATTTTGGCTGGTGAAAGCTTTGTACTGATATTCATTTTTGAAAAAATAAGGTGCTCACAAGAGTCGTAGACTCCAACATTTTTTTTTTTGGAGCTCACCATTTTGGCTAGACTCGCTCCGATATCTTGTCGGACTAGATATATATACCATGAAGTCTCTTGACAATAGAGATAGAAATGAACCGTCAACATCACCGGGACTTTTGGACAGGTTTACTCCTGCTGGAAATAGAACCTCAGTATCTGCGCTCCGAACTGAGCAACTCTGAGCTATTTATTCTTTTTTGCTTTCTCTTTTAAGCGACACCACCTCTGAATGGAGCGAGGTGTTTGAAATCGAATTCAAATCACTATTCTCGATGGAAATTATCTTGCCACTGAGCCAAGCACCTCAAAAAATCGCTAAATATTTTAAATACTTTATTTACTTGAAACAGTTCCAAATGTAGAATGTTCTAAATTAATTGCTTGCGGCTTCGACAGTATCTGGCTGTATGTAGTTGTCTGTTGCTGCTTAATAAGTGTTGCTGTAGCAGTGCTATCGTTGTTTGGCTGCATTATCCGTGGCAGTGATAAATAGAAATCACGAAGTGCAATGGATCTGTTCAAGAATGTTGACCCACCTTAATTAAGCTTCGCTTGAGTATCAGTTTTTAGCAATTTAGTGATCAATTAAAGAACAAACTGCGCATTACTGACAAAAAATTAAAATTTAAAAATTTAAACTTAAAATTTATTTAAATATTTCCCATTTTTATGAACTTACTTTGTTGCAGAAATTGATCAAAACTGACATATCTTTGACGCAACATAAACCAATTTAAGAGAGTTTGGTAATAAAAATGGTTGGCTAATTCAGCTGCAAATACTGAGAAATTCATGAAAATTATAAACTACTCATTTTTAAATTTTATTCTATAATTCAGTTTTTTTTGCTTTAATTTGAATTTTTGAATTTTCTAAATGCAAATAAAAACTTTGTTCTATTTGTGCTTAGGACAAAAAAAGCTTACGAAACGGTAGAAAAGACGGATTCGATGGAAATGTGGACATCGATGGGATTTGTATGAAGTCATTTTGATGCTGAATTAATGAATCTGGCGATATTTGTGGCTCAGTGCAAGGTTTTTTTGCTGTACTCAAATTGTTGAGATTCATACTTAGTGAAGAAGTTTCATGCTGATGTCGAATTTCATCATTGGCAGCAGTTATTTCAATGTCGCCGATCTGAAACTTTAATTTACAATATATGATTATAAAATGTTTGAAATTTTTTACTATATATTATATTATATGGAAAAAAATTTGCATTTAGTGATTCCTTTTTGCTCACTTTCCATTTCATTTTTTCAATAAGCCATCGCATTCTTTTTTAAAGATTTGAAAATTTTTTGAAAACTAATAAGCCGATTTCTGCATTTCTTCATTAAACATGAATTTAAAAATTATTGCCTTATCAGGATTTTCACAAGCAATAAATCGCTTTCCATCACAAACAGGACAAATTTCTGAAGGTATCCAATCGGCCTTCTTTGCAAAATATCCATCAATTTCTTCTAAAATAAAAAAAAGCATTTATTAAGCGCTACATCGAAGGAACGAGTGCAGTGAAGAGATAAGATTATAATTTACAGTAGGATGGATTCATCTAGTTCGATTTTCATTCGTTCGATAATTAAAGGCACCACGACATTACGTAACATTCGCATGCGAATATCATTTATCATGGCTTGTTTTTTTTTCAAAAATAAATATCAATAATAATGCCTTTTATTCATTAGCAGATTCCAAAATCGGACAGAAATCGATGAAATCCTTGGCAAAAAAAAGTTAGCTCTAAATTTAAATTTAAGGGACGGCGATATAACTTCGCACATAAATAAATGTGGTAATATAAAATACATATATAATGAGATGATATAACGATTAATTCGCATTTTTTTTAAATAAATAAGTAAGATAGCTAACTGACTTGCGGTTAAATCCAGCAGAAAAAGAAAAAACGGCTATGTTTATTTGAGGAAAAGATTTTCATTTGTTTAACAGTAAACTAATCAAGTAAACTAGCATTTGACATTTTTATTGAAATCAGCGTTTAGAAGTGAAACTGAATCGAAGAAAAATTAGAAAGAAAAGCAAGAAGAAATTTTTGCAAATCTTTAAAAAATCTGTTAATTAAAAGCAATTGGTCAAGAAGTTTTTTATTTACTACCTCGTTAAACTCTTATAAGAAACGATGTAATTTACTCATTTCTTTTCTATAGTTTTGAAAATCTCGACTTTATATCCAGAAATCAGTACAATGACAAAAAATATGAATTTTTATTCAGCTTAACAGATTTAAAAAGATGATTTATACTATGCTGGTACAAAAGAGCGTACATGGATCCTTAACATCATCTCGATTTTTTAATGATATGTTTAATCCTGTCGCGAACAAGAGCAGAATCCTTTTGGGGCGATAATCTGACCAACTATTTGGCAAAATATTTTTAAATAAAACCATGCAATTTTGAAGCAGCGAAGTTAAAATTTTAAACTACAAATATGGGATTTTTTTTAAAAAAAATATGTTTGAAAGTCCACTATAATTGGAAAATAAATTTCC